AAAGGCCTGAAGCGCAGGAGATGGTTCTATAGACTGTGCGAGTGACAGCGGCTGAAGCAGACAGTATTGTATGACCCGCTGGAGTGTGACCCTCACATCATGTGCACAGTCTTTGTTAAAGCGGCCATCAGTGCTTCTCTGTGAATCTGTTCTTTATTGTTACGTTCAGACTGACAGTGTGGCTATCCTCTAATAATGTTCAACAACACACTTCACACATTTTTATAATACATCGCCTTTAATAGACCATGGCTCATTTTACAAAGTCTGTCTGCGCTCAGGCTGTGAATGGCTTTACAGAAGTAATAGTATCACCAACCATTAACACACATGACTGGCATATTATGAATAACTGACATCGACCCCGACCCCGATACCATTTTTCCAAAACTGCTGTGAGTACTTTATTTTGAGTACTTACCAACTATACTGTGGTCAAATTAATGCATTGCACAACAACAAAAGAAAAGCAATTTTTACTCTGTGTATTAGTTTGATCTTCAATGAATCCGTTTACATTATATTTATATTTTTTGGACACTCAAAGACACTTTGTCCAATGTGGCGAAAAGCTGCCACTGTAGCCACAGCTGCCTGGGGCTGACTGACAGAAGCGAGGCAACCGCTATGTGCCATTGGCCTCTCTGACCACCAATCATTTTCACACACACACCGAACTCTCACTAGAAAATGTGGGTGAAGTTTCTTTTGTAAGGACAGTTTACAGCCACAGCCGCCCCACCTGATGTTCCTAAAGGTCTCCCATCACAGTACTATCCAGGCCCTACCTTTCTTAGTTTCAGAGGTCTGGAGGTGGTACCATAGTTGTCAGTTGGGTGCACGCTTCATAAGCTGTGAGATTGTTTATGGTCCCGATAGCAGCCGCTGATACGAGTTTCGAGCCCCTGGTATTGAGACGGATGCCTGATACTGGTGTGGGTGCATCCATGTGTTGATACAAAGGAGTTGAGATAAAACTTCCTACTAATGACTGGACTGAGATGGTCTGATTGGCACTTAATTGAGTAATTGATTATTCAACAGATAATTGGATGTTGCTTTCTTTTCCTTATTTCTCCATCATACTGTACCATCATTTCTCATGTTGAAAAGCAGGACATCTCTTTACATTTCGAATACAACGTTCATCTCACTCATGCATAACGCAGCCTTTCCAAAACTGTTCTAATGAATGTTTTTCCCCTCTTGGCATTTTAGCACTTTATTTTTTCTCACATTAATGAAAGCAGACATTTCTTTTGGCTCTCCTAGAATATATAATATCCTTGGACAGCAGTTTAACGGCTCAAAATGGTTCTGTGGTGCATGTGTATGATAAATGATAAATGATCACACTGTCAGCCATGCTTGTCGAATGAAGCTTTGGCCCTAGATTGTAAACATGGTGCGCCATCTTTGCCCCAGAGATTTCACAGTTTTCTTTATTGATTGCTTCTGGTTTGATGTCAAGAAAAAGAAAACTTCTTTTGTTTTCCTATACTAACTCCCAGGGTACGTCAAATGATTCAAAACATTAGCTGTTCCTGTTCCAATAAGGCAAACGCTTTTAGAACTACAAATACCGGATATCTACTCTCCTTTCAACTTAATAGGATTTTCTCTAAACAGTTCACTGTGGTTCAGCCAGTTATGAGACATTACTAAGTTACGAAATAGGTATAGCCATGATATTGTCTGACAGTTTATTGTTGTGCTCAATGTTCTTATCTCAATTTACAACACGGACGTTTCCAAATGTAATCTTATACGGCCTTTTTCTCTGGTTGCTCCTCTTAAAAGCTTCAGTGCAGTGCTTCAGTGGTGCAATGCATACCATTTCCATGGTTACTAACCTTACTGTTGCAATACAACTTTGTTTTAATTGTCTTTATTGGATTGGTAGTTGGAATTAGAGATATAATACTTCTTTCTGACTTTATCATTTGTCTCTTCCGGTGACATATTTACTGAAATGTCTCTCAATGGGCTGTGTACTTTGTTGGGACAAACTATTCAAAAATTATTCACTTTTTAACTTGGTAATACAACAAAAAGAAAATTGGTAATATTACTAATGTGAGAGTACTTCCTAGTTGTAGCAAGGACTTCAACTTCAACTACTTATTCTGCAGTGCCAATGTTTTTCTTCTATTAAAGTGTATTCCACTTCACACACTATCTCAAGTCTGTGTGCACTTTAAAGTGGTTCTCACCCCCGCTCCTCGGAGCTTACGTCACTCACATTTCCTGTTCAAATCTTCCTCTAAATGGGCGTAGCCTGGAGGACTGAAGGGGGCGTGAACGAGACTGGGCCGTTTATATTGCTCTGGGCGGGGGGCTGCTGACGTCAGGTCCAACTTGCAGACGTCAGGTCCAACTTCTGTGCCAGTGTTGGCGCCAGATTCAAAATTCAAATGTAGTAATACAGGTCGCCAGCAGATGGCGCCTCACAGACGGTTTTAGGCAGAAAGTTTAACTTTCAACTAATTTGCACCAAAGTGAAAAAACTATGACCAGGATATGTAGACAACACTATTGGACACTCATTTAAATCGTTTATCAGCAAAAAAAAGTGGATTTGAGGGTGAGTTGTCCTTTAAGCTGTCAAAATACCGAAATGTTATATAAATACTCAATCAATAAATACTCCATCAGTCTGCCCCAGAGCAGCTGTATAACTACAGTTGTAGTTGTAGTCGTAACTTGAATGAATGTGAATGAATGAATAAAGTGTATTTGAGTGTCTGGAATAGTGCTATATGAAACAACATTTTGTAACTTATAAGATGAAATGAGCACAGTGTCAGTTTGTAGCATAACATCATCTTTTCCGTTTTAGATGTTATTTTGAAAGGTCACCATCTTCTGTATGTATTATTATTATTTATTTTTTTGTGGTCCGTATTTCTTAATCATGTTATCTTAGCCCACAGTTTTCAGACCCTTAACATTTCTAGCTCAGCTCCTTCAGCTTTGTTGAGTGTTCTTACCAATCTTCAGTTTTTCTGTTTACCCTGGTTACAAAAATAAGAATAGGCATGAATAAAACTGTGCAAAAAATGTATTTATTATCATTATCAGGTATTACCAGTCACTAACATTTGTGTTGAGATTATTCCTTTCTACTTTAATGCTTCAAAAACCATTGTATTTTTTCTTCCTCACAACTTTCATTCAGCATAAACGTTGAAAAGGTAATGTTTTGGCCAACGCTGTTGTGCTTTTGCTAAGCCTTTAATTTGGCCAAACTTTGAACCTCTGAAATATAAAATTAGTTCCAGCACATGGGTTGAGGAAATAGGCATTTACTCGCCAATTGCAGCAATGCAATCATTTACTTGAGCTGTTGTAGACCTATCAATGCCATAATGTTTTTAAAAGGGTAGTGACTTTTTGGCCCGCTAAAAATGTGCAAACACAATATGCGGCACAATCATCATTTTGTCACAAGGAGCTTGTTGCCATTACCAGAGGAAGTAAAAAAAATGGCAATTAGAATTGCATTACCGACCCTTACTGTCCCTTAGTGCTTGTATATGGGTCCTAAATCGTTGAAATATTTGGACATTTTTAGTGAAATGATATTGTGGAGTGCGACTGGAGTGCCTTTGAGCTGTGGCCTGTGAGCAGTGCAGTGGGCTCTCCAAGCTGTGCCGACGACTCGTTTGCCAAAATGTGTGCCACCAAACCATGTGCCAGTGCAAGTCTGCCCAGCTGCCAGCCACTTCTTTTTATCCAATCAGACGTTTTCGACTCGAGCGAGACCCCTTTTCTCCTCCTCCTCCTTTCGCAGAGAGTTTTGTCTCACAGGCTCGCGTAGATGCCCCTTCCCTCTACAGCATCCAGCCTTACCTAGAGACCGCAACCACTGAGCGAAGAGTGCGCTATGTTCCCCCTCTTGTCTCTGTCTGCCGCCGTTCCACTTCTATGTACTTTTTATTATTCTCCCTGGACTAAACCACGGGCTAAGTGGGCCAACCTTAGTCACGGTTTCAGGGATTTCTATAGACTAACGCAAAAGCAGAGTGCCTCTAGAGATGTGTTTTTCTGAGGCGGGTGAGAGAAAAAACTGTTGTCTGTCGGCGTGTGGCTTTATTGGACATGATGAGGGATGATATTATGGAGGATGCAGCAGCGGCGGTGGCAGCACAGAGATGAGGGAGAGATCTCATTTGTCTTACGCTCACTTATTATAATGTGTCTATCTGTCACTTTGGCTGAGGACAGACATCTGTGTTTCTTCATAATTCTGGACGTATAGTTATTTCTATGCAATGCTAAAATGAAGAAAAGAATATTGCCCCGGAGCTTAGTTATAGTGTATGAATGAGTAAGTAGTGAAGCTATATTGTTTGTGATGAATGCATCTGGATCTCTTCAGAACTATTTCATTTTATGCCTTGGGGTAAAACCTCTATTGTCTGCTAACAACTTGTGACCAGATTTAGCGCTAACCTATTCGTCCACTTAGAATTTTTTGGTTAGTTAGTTTTAGTTTATTAATTTCTTCACCCACAACAAAAAGACCATTACATACACACTAACACATTTGTGACGATTATACTGACATTTGTGTTGAAGTTGAGCTGCTGTGCTTGTGGACACTATATAAAAATGTTTAGCCTTCTCAACGATTTTTGGTAATTTACAATCGGAAACATTGTATTATGCATACCACATCTAACAATAGTAAATACAACACTATAGAAATAACAAAGTATGTCGAAGTAATGTAAATCTGGCTATTTATGCGACAATTCTTGTATGGCCTGCCCTGTATGGGAACCTCTTTACATAACAGCTATTATTATGAATTCGCTGCAGGCTTTTTATTTTCTCAAACCAATTACATCAATAATTAAAAGTAGCCCCGTGTCCTCACCGAGAATGCATAAACAAAAAAATATGTTTATTGTAGTATTATTATAAACAAAAGTATATCATATGAACGTGAACGCTAACTCGGCTAACGCTAACATTTCTTCTCTTGTGTATTTCAGGTTGACGACGCCATGCTAATGTTTGATAAGACTACTAACAGACATAGGGGTGAGTGCACAACCTTTTTTTTCCCCCTCATATTATTTTTCTGAAAGGTGAGAAAACAGTGATTGGATGTCCTTTCCCCATGAGCTACCAGCGAACAGTTCCATTTCACATGATATTAGGTGTGCCATCTGTTGGACAATGGAAGCGTGTCGGAGTAATCAATAAGCTGGTTGGGTGTTTAGAATGTTTTTGAGCATTAGCTTGTCTGGCGTGGGTTTCGCTCTGTCTGGGCACTGCTGATGGGGCTGATGGTGTGAGTGTTTCAGAGAGGTGCTTAAAGGGTGTAAAGATGGCGTGATGGTGGGCGCTGTGCAGTCAGATAACAGCATCAGATAAGGCCCAGGAGAAGCAGTGACTTTATCGGCCTCTCTCATCGCCGCCTTATCTCACATGGTGGGGGACGTCTCTCTCTCTCTCTTTCAAGCAGAGGACTTTCCAAAGACAGCTTTTCCTCCACAGTGCGGGTGGTTAAGCTAAAACTGCCAGCTTACACTTTTGGAGTTTTGAAAAGTTATGGTCTGAGGTAGCCGTGCGGTTTTGTAAATGCCATTTGTGAGAGGAAGAGGCAATTGTCGAACTTGGAATGTGATCATATCAAGTGTTGCGGATACAGTTATTGAAAAAAAGGCATGATTGACAAGTAACAAGTGACTTAGCGCTAACATTATCCCGAAATCGTATTCCAATTGTCATACATTGACACATTTCTCAAATATGAAACTGTTTTATAGAAATCTAACTTAGACCTAGAGTTTGATTCATAAATACATTTAGTGATTCTTGTTTAAGCAACATTTTATGAACAAACTACAGACTACAACATGATTCTTTTCATTATTATTTTACATTGTGAGAGCGGATTGGCTGAGTGAAGGCTGGTCCTCCCTTTTGAGAGTAAACTAGTTAGATGGATTGTAGTAAAATACTCCAGCTTTACCATGACAGATAAATGTTATTTACTTCGAGGATATACTTTTCTATGTTCCGTTATTTTTTATTATCATTCTAGACTCTTTCTCAAGGTGCGGAACTGTATTACCCCTGTATCATGCTGTAGTCTCTTAAAAGGCAGTTATAAATCCCATACTTGATTTGCAGGTGTGATTTCACAGAATCTGGACACAATTTTATCAAGTATGAGTTTTTTTTACAATGTATATTACCAAAAAGCATATTTAGTGCTGGCTCATAGCCGCTGTATTAAAGTTTGGGAGACAGAGTGTCCCCAGTTGTGTGTACGTCGGCACATCATGGGGTTCCAGAGAAGTCGACAGGCACTGACAGGTATTTTCAGTGGAAAAATCCGCCTGCACTTCTCTGTTTGTCACACCAATCAGCTCGCTTGTACAGGGGAGCTGCCATAAACTCGTCTCCACTGCGCCTGGCAGAGTGGTGTTTTGCCACATAGATGTAAACATTTCCTCTCCTACCTTGATAAATGTTTAAGTGGATGGGATAGATGTATTTTGTGTTTGTAATGTCTGCTTTGCTCTCCTTTCTCTTTGGGGTGTATCCGTCTGAGAGATAGAGAGACAGCGTGTGTGAGTCCTTTTAGAATCTGGTAAACAGTCTCTAAGTGTGGAACATGTGAACTATAGTGGAAGAGATCTATGGCTTTGAGGGGATTTTGATCTGAAGTGACAGAACGCAGTGTGAGGTCTGCTTTGAGACACAGGCTTTTCCCCTCAGCCTTTCCTCTGCTGCGTCTGTGTGCGCCTGCACTGAGAGCCTCTGAGGAACACAAGTATGCCTCTGGGTTTACAAAATGCCCTTCAGACAGAGATTGTGATGGAAAAACAGAGGGTCATGTAGATATAACCAAAAAGAAGAAAATATATTCTAAGGGATACATTGCCCAAAATACAGTTTCCTTGTAGGTACTATGACGTAAACAAGCACAAAGTATGTAGTAGCAATGACATTACTGGAAAGTGATTTGACCACCACAGCTTTAGCCAAAGTCTCTGCTTCTTTCAGATCAGACCAACGTAACAAATTAGTTTACTTGTTACAGACCTAGATAACGCTAATTTCCAACACGGAAAATATACCTTGAATAAAATGTACAATTAGTTCAACAATTAGTTTCACATGTTTCCCAACCATTGTTCTAAAGTGCTTGTTTATTCTGGATGTGCCACATTAATCTGGTCTTCATCTGTACATGAAGTACCATCTGCATGTCTTGATTTATTATTTCTGTTGAATCATAACAGGTATCTTCAAGGAAGAGCACATGATTGAAAGTGTGAATAATTCATGGGAGTTGAACAAGCCATTGGTGTGATTGTGTAATATTAATGCCCTCACAGCCACACAACCGCAGAGGAACAGATCATTGGGACCATCATTCTGTGGCCCGCAGTGACAGTGATGGGGATCTACAAACCTGTCCAAATCAATAACACACCTGTGTACATTTTTGTGATTTTGTGAGTGATTTATTAAAACAAATAATATCATATTTTTCTGAGGCAGATGCAACACTTATTACTTTTCTCATTGTAGGATTTAATTGTCAAAATAGCACACACCACACTGAGCAATTCCCAAAATGCCTGTTTTATTCCATTTGCTTTGCCCTATACGTTTCAGATCCCAAACTTGTGTGAAAGAGCCCTTTGAGTCAATATGGGCTCAGAGATGATTGGCTGACCAAGGGTGGTTTTATCCCTACATTACTGTTCTGTCCGAAAACTGTTTTAAAACTTGTGATGAGTTGCTAGAGCTGAGAACTAGTTAGATACTGCCGTCTTCTGCTATTTGAAATCCAGCTATTGCAGCTTTATAGTTGTACTTATGTCATTTAATTTTGTCAGCATTTGTCAACCATAAACCGTACTATAATGCTTCAATCTACATCATTTATGTATAGTCAATGTTTATTTCTTTTGTATGTAACACCTTTCTCCTCGTTTTGTGTTTTCCTGAGGGATGTGACAGAGTGTGGCAGTATTTGGTGTGCTGGTGAAGGGCATGATGGACACTTGATTGTAGTGTGCTTTCTCTGAGACTGTGGTGAATTGGCCAGAGAACAGACGTCACACTCCACTAGCAGCTGCATTGTCCTTTAGACTCTCCCTGTGTGCCACGCTCTCTTCCTTCCCCCTGCCTTTTCCACCTCCTTTTGATTAACTCTAATTCTGTTTTTCTTTCACTATTTCTGGACTGTTTTTGCCGTACCACCATGCTCTGGTCGCTCTGTCATTCTTGCTTGAAGGACACTCACTGTAAGCAAAGCTGCTCACAATAGCACATGCTGCACACCATCTCGCTGGCATTTAAAAGACTAGAATAAGGCCAATTGTGTTGGAAATTGAACTCTCCAAAGCCTTCCTTCCCAATGCAGAGGCATTGTGGGTGCGCTGGGTGTCTTCGGTGAACGGCGCCGGCTGTCCAGAGGTTGATGCCAGAGGGCGTCCATTGTTCCACACTCCACTGCAGTGTGTCTTGTTCACGCCTCTTTTCCGCCTTCTATTTTTCGGTCTGCCACTTATTCTCTGACAGAAAGACATTTAGTGATGTAGGAATTTTGTCCATGACTTAGGTGATTTTGTACAGGCAAAAACAGAGGCTGAAAACAAGGTACATTTACTAGTAAACTAGTATAATGATGTCCAGGAAGATATTTTCACTAGTCAAGAATTTGTAATTAAGACTGGTAAACCAAGACTATACTTGGCTTATCTCAAAATAAGTTAAATACTGTACGCATACCACAAGCTTAATACAGTCGAACATACATCTTGAAATAAGCTCACCCCTGGTGTCCTGAGCAGTGGGGACGGGTCCTGGCTCAAAAGTGGCCAAAATGATGTGCGCTGACATGCTTGCAATACAACCCCGGGCCGATGGGGGTGGACCCGGAATAAGAATTATTCTATGCTAACATATGGCATTAGCTGACCTCTCTTCTTTACAGGATGGTCCAAGAGTTGGCTCTTGGCCCAAAGCTCCGTTCCACATGTGTGTCAATGCTGAGGGGAGTGATTTATTTTGGACCAGTCTAGTTTAGTCGCTGTGAATTTTTTATAAGGCACTCGTTAAATGAATAGGGCTCGTATGGGCTGACGCATGCACAGATAGCGTTTTTTCAATTTTTTCTGCCCCCGCGGCCATTTTGAAACTGCCTATAGACCGCGGAAGTTGTGGCACATTAGTTAGAACGGCAGAGATAGGCGTGACTACGTCTATGGTCCTGAGCCATCCCAAAACCAGATTTTTGCCAACCCAGGTTACATTGGCTTAGGACAGCCATGTAAATGGTCCAGATAGGCGAACACATATGATATATTAAACAGAACTAGTATGAATTCATATGGCATATTTTTATAGCACTAATTTATATGCCCTAAAGTCCAAACACCACTGCTCACCTGTTGTGAGAGCCGTTTGTTGTAGGAGGAACAGGCACACTGCACACAAAAAAATCAGTATGTTGAAAATTAAAGTGACATATCAGACATCTGCAAAGTGGAAAATGATTTGAAATGGACCCGCAAAAACACAGCCAAAGAGGTTAAGCTAGGACAAAGTCACTATTTTTGAGGAGCCATTGCAAATTCAAGATGCCAATCCCATAGCAAATGTGTGAGTAAATCTCAAAAGTCATAGATACGGATACCCCAAACGTTTGACCCAAACAAATAAAACAAAAACAAAATGTATGTTGTTGGCCTTTCTTGTTGGTGTGCTGGACTAAACACATTATACCTAAAGGATTTTATGGGATTATACAGAAGAAAATGATGCACAGAAGAGGAGAGAGGCTTATTGTAGCTGCTCACTGTAGCTATTTTTTATTGTATGCATTATATCTTACTTTAGTTGCTTTGATTTTCACAAACATAAAATGATTGCAAAATAAGTTCCTCCAGAAAAATAATTATGTTATTGACAATGACTAGCCTTTTTAAAGAAAGATGTAGCCCATGAAAAAAGCAGCTACAGTAAGCAGCTACAATTAGCCTCTCTCCTCTTCTGTGCATCATTTTCTTCTG